TTTCCATGTGTTAAGTGTGAAACGGTCATGTACATGTATGTACGTCGTGGTGCATGTATGTGCAGAAACCTATTGAACATTGGAAGCTCAAAGCTTAAAGTAACTTTGGAGTAATTTACGTATTTATAGATTTATTTCTGCGGTAGATTTATTTCTACATGGACAAATATTAAGATAAATATGTTTAATGATTCATGTAATTGTTCTCTAAATAACAATCTAGCTTGTTTTTCGATTGTCCTACTTCTCTTTGAAGACTTAAAAATCTGTCACACATTCAACACATTTCAATACATACGTCTTCAAAAATTAGTAAAGTTATTACTTCATGTAGGGGAATACATGCTTTAACACTTATATATTATTTGTCGCTACACTCGAATAGTTTATTGAAAATTATTTATGTCCGAAAATTTTAGAAGATACAGCAAACTTTATTACTCGTATCGCTCGAGATACTGGAGTATAAAAAGTAATGCTTATAATTTTCTTGATTCAGACATAAATAATTTTACAATTAGATTATTCTCTAACATAAGTCTTTCATATTTACTTACTACTTTCAATACTGCCAAAGAAAAGGCACACAAAATATTTGTTAAACGAAGCCCGAGTATTTAAAACTTTAAGTACAAATCTGGCAAAATTTTGGAACTGTATTATATCGATGTATATCGATGATTGGAAATATCTTGTATTATTCTTATAATACTTGTTTTTTCATATTTGTTATTTTTACTAGTTTCTTTTTTTTAGTTTTTCTTCTTTCTGAATGTATTTTTATTTCATTCTGTATGCTACAGTTAGAAACTGTATTTCTGTGTCGCCTTATGCACGCGTGTGTCCCGTTTCATCGAGATACGCATTGTCAAGGATTCTCTTAATAGGGCCCATTTCTTTGCTGTGCCTCTCTTCACGTTCCTTTTGGACACTTCGAAATCCTATCCGGGCGGCTTCAGCGTACCTCTTGGAATGATCAACTTCTACTCTCGCTCCTGGAATGTGGCCTGTATAACCGACGATCGGCGGTCTTTCTGGGGAGACATGATAATCTGCAACGAAAATAATAATTACACAATAGATCTTGGAACTTGATGCTTCGCTTCGAGCCTCAACAAAAATGTCTTGATTATAATGATTGATTAAAAGATTCAAGTTCTATTGAGGCTCGAAGCGAAAGATATATCAACTTGGTCTTTTATTTTAGTTATTATTTTAGAGGTAAACGATTAATTAATTGTGTTTGGAATAACGCAATATGAATTGTTAGATTAAATTAGAAATGACAGAAATTAACAATCAACGTAAAATATGCAAGTACCGTAGGTCCTTCTGTCTTTGCCATAACCGTGATCGATCTCAATGTCCACATTATCTGCCCTCGCTCGAGATAGAAGATTTCTCGGATCTGTCCGCTCAGCGTGAGCTCTCATCGCGTCCTGTTGCGCTCTCAGCTTCATTTGCGTTTTGTGCCACTCTTTAGCACCGACTTCCACGGCTCTCATGAAAGACAGTCCATACCTGTCGTTGAAGCCAGGAATATATCCTGTGATAAATGAAGAAAACGTCAAATATAAAATCTCTTTGTGGATGAATGCATTGTATAAAAAGCATCAAATCCTATACTAATGTAATCTTTATATGGGAGAGGTGCATGTGTATCAAGACCGTGATGTGTATACATACACCACATTATTTTTAAATTAATTGTACAAAACCTGCAATTACATAAAATGCTGGTGGTCTTACCGGTATATCCTAGAATGTACGGAGGTGCTTTGTACGATGTAGCTTCGTTATTCCAATTTCTTCTTATCTCTTTATCCTGAAGAGTTGGTAATTCCGCCTCTCTACCGGAATTTGGCCTATACGGTCCAGTCTTAAGAACCTTATTTTCCAACAATTCCTGTAACAATACATAATACAGAATTAAACTTCGAAATGCGTAATATTGGATTATATCCGTAATACTCGATTATTATACAATCTTTTTTATTCAAGTTTCTCTATAAATGAATACGTTTTCTTATTTCTACAGTTTAATTAATTTTTATTATAATTGAAGAGGAGAATCGAAAGATTATAATAGAAATTACCTTCATTATCTCTGCCGTACTCGCTCCGAATCTCTTTCCAACGCGAAATTTGAGGGTGGGACAGTGACCCGTGTATCTAAAAGTACACACGCAATTATAATTAAAGATGATATAAAATGAATTTTGAAAGATGATAAATTTAAATGATAACACTGCTGTACCCTATCAGAATTAAAGAAATCGTGTTTTTTTTATTATAAATAAACGACCGTTTTGATGTTATGATATATTGTTTCACGGTTGTGATAGAGCGGGACATAGTTAGCCTATTCGCCAGGTCATTGAGCATTTTTTCGAGGTTAATGGTTTAAGTTAATTTTTTTATGTTTTTTGGGTCGTAAAACAAGAATCTGTTAATAGTTTTTTCGTAAGTCGATGCAATAAAAAGTTATTAACAATTTATTTGTTTAAATTGCCCTAGCGATCAAACTACATCCTATAAAAAAATGAACTGGAGAAAATTTGTTCCTCTTTTTACGACGAACAAAATGACGTTTGAATTTTTGCAAAATCTTTATTATTGACGGAAATATGTCAATTTTTAGGTAATTACTGTCTACGCGTCACGGAGTACCCTAGGTGTGCGCGTTCGCGCGTTTTTGCAAGTTCAGACAAGTTCAGAGTTTCAATTGTTTTAACGATACAATTGAACACTGCCTTCAGCAGATATATGATAAATGCGACTCCATACACTGATACTATAGAAAAAAAGTTTAATGAGGTTCCTCAGTGAAAGCTAGCTAGCATAGAGTGCAGCACCATATAAAAATTGGTAGTATTCCGCGCGAGTTTCAAACACCAATTGTTAACGTATAGGAAAAATCAGTATTGTAATAAAAATTACGACTGTAATTTTGTAATTTTAACTGTATGTCAATGGATAATGTTTGTTCGCATACATTAACTGAAATAACTCTGTTACAATTTGGTTCGCCGGGTAAAGAGTATATTAGACATAATAACCTATATTGACCATCTATTTTACCGATCTTGTAAATCCTTCTTTTTCCCCGTTACTTTTGCTCCCCGAGAACGGAGCTCTTTTTTTAATTTTTTCACAGACCACTTTGCGTATTTTTCGCCACTCATTATTATCACAATTCTTTTTTATTCTTTCGCTGCTTTGACATTTGCGCCGTTAGCTGCCAGGCACAGTGGTTCCCCTGTGCGGGAGCAAAAGTTAGTGAGGAACCTCATTCGCACTTCTTTCTTATTGTACCTTCAAAAAGATTGACTTAAATTCAAAAGGTCCTGACGGCAACGTCTCAAGCGATCTGTTAGATAGTGACCTCGCTTCCGTGACACTGATCTTGCGATGTGGACACGGTAAGATGGTTCAACGACCCAGATACGATTTATGTAGATCTTAATAGCGGTGCCGGGACTCGTGACAACCACGTAGGAGTGACTTCGGCTGGTTATTGCACCGTGACCGCCACAAAGTGAAGGCTCGATTTACTGGGTCACCGGTAGTCCGCTTTTACGGTTCTGCGATTACTTTATTTAGGGATTGGCCGTGATTGTCTTATTTTCTCAGATGCATTAAAACGTCCTAGAGGAGGCAGTGTGGTCTCTAGACTCGTAACCGTGAGGACTCGTGTTCGAGTCCAGCTGACTACAGTTGAAATTTCGTTTTTCAAAAGGTAGACATGGTTTTTTTCGTCTTTCAAATGAAAGATTTTTTGCTTTTCTTATATCGATGTTTGGAAATATCTTGTATTAGTCTTATAATACTTGGTTTTTTATATTTGCTATTTTTACTTGTTTCTTTTTTTCTTTTCTATCAAAGTATTATATATGATACCATTACATAAATGCCTACAATCAACCAATGAAGGTCGATCGAGCGATTAACCGAAAACAGTTTCTCCAAGTTTCGAGTCAATCTGTAAAAATATTTCTGAGAAGTTTCCATAAAATAATTGAAACATGCTTTATTCTTTTAACGATATATATGTTTATACCCCATAGTCATTTATTTCAATTACAAATACGCGGATTGATCTCGATTCCTTTGCGAGTTGTGCTATTTTAATTATTCATGGTATACATATTTTATACAGAAGTTACAGGTAGACAAGTATACCTCGTGTGCATATCCACATTTTTTTTCTCGGAATATGCATACTTTATTGTATTCTACTATGTCGTAATATGTAACTACAGGTATAGATCTAACAATAAGAAGCCACCATGCGTGCATATGTCGTGCAAGATATCTAAGGAATTAGATACGCTTCATCGGACAGAAAAACGCCTATAACGTTCGCATAATAGGTCATAATTTTGCTGCACTATCGTCCAGTATATTTCCTTAATATATTTTGCAGGTCATGGAAAAGTGAACTACAAATTAATGTAATATTTGATTGATGTAAGATTAATTTGCAGTTGCTAAGAAATAGAAACTCCCCCATTTCACTCTCATGGAGTTCTATTTCTTTCAAACAATTTTTCTCTCGAACAACTCGTCTCTCAGTTTCGATCTGCGTCTTTTCTCACTCGGATCGATATGCCGGAGCGTAGGGTAAATCACGATAAATAGTTCGAGGTGATTCGCCGTACGGAAGGGTAGTTTTGCGCGTGATGTAGCTTCGTGGGGACGTGGGGGTGTAAATTGGCACGGTACCAACCGCGGTACCAGCACTTTCGTCCCCCGCGCGACTTCGAGGTCAATACTTTGGGAATGCATGCTTCCGGAGGGTCATCCGGCGATCTAGTTCGAATCCGATATAATCTCGAAGGCGAGACACGTGTGCCACTTTGAGATTTTACCGTCCGATGTCCGTGCGACCAGCAAATATTGCGAATGTATAATGCATTGGATGCAATATACATGTAATATATTATGAGAAAGATCGTTTTACTGCAGTCAATTTTTAAACGTATAGAGCTTTTAAGATATTGCCATGTAAGTTTCAAATTTAATGTTAAATTATTCGATATTGTAGTCAATATCAACAGACTTCATCAGTGGTTTAAATACCGTTAAATACGGTTTCTATTAAGCTCAAGATCGAATGGCTTAAAATTAGATTACCTAGAATTGTTCGCGAAAAAAAGATCCGATCTCGTGCAGAACAGACGTGATTTCGTTGAAAATACTTCGATCAGATGCGGTTTCCTTGTGGAATCAATTTCACGCTTTCTGCGTTTTTGTCAAGTTTATAAAGGCTAAACGCGCTTTGTAGGTTGTCTCATATAGTATATAATTCCAATAAGTTTAAAATTTTGATGTTAGAGATGTGAAACATTTTACGCAAAATAAAAAATTTATTGGAATTTGAAAGCATGGTCAAGAAATATTGGAAAAAAAGATATAGATTACGATAAATTTCTAAAACTTTCACCGGTTAAAATTAAAAAATAAGATTCCAAATTTTTTAATTACATTTGTGGACATTCGTAATATTAATTTGTCTGCTTGTTTTGATGGTCAGTTACAGTGAATTTATTTGCATTGCTAATAAACATAGAGATTATTTTTTGTAACGTCGAGATCTGAATTGAGAGTTTTATTAGGTTCAACGCTTACATTTTTTATAATTACACTTATGTTATTTGTGGCAGTATATATGTATATACATGTACAAATATGCATGTGTTTGTGAGCGAATATTAAATATTCTGTTCATATATCCGTACTTTAATGTGAGTGTGATCGCGCATACAGAGTTATGATACCGTTATTATACTTACCCAACATAAAAGCTAATTGTAAGATCTCTAAACTTTCTTTAAAGAAATATATTAATACCGTTTACATGATTTAACAGAGTTATGACGTTTGCACAGACGCATACAATATTTAAGATTTATTTATTATCACTATCTGGTTATTTTTTTAAGTAACAGTTAATCTATATAGATTTATATAGTATTCATTGTTATTCATACGTTAGCTAGGAATCGTTTTCTCTTGATAAGCGTGTTTTTCATCAAGTTTCACAAATAAATGTTTAGTTACATTGGAATAACTTTCTATTGCAAATGAGATTATGTACATACATTCACAGAAAAAATAGAGCAAGTTTTATGTATATATGACACTTTCATTTAATAAAATAAAATAAAATAAAAGAACTAATAAAAGAAAGAATAGAAAAGGTGGGAGAAAGTTCATGTCTATTTGTATCTAATAAACTTCAATGATTAAAACTTATTAATGTTGATGTATACAATATCTGTCTTTATATTACGAACTTTTTTCTTCGACGCTATGCGTCTGCACGCATTACGCAACGGTAATGAAGCTAACGAGACATTTAGTACCTATGATAACGAAACCGTAAATTCAATTAGATACTTTTAATTGTTGAACTAAATTTAGCGAAAAAAATCGCAAAGTTTCTGTCATTTAAAAGCAATGCTGCATTGTCAATTTTTTGTTTCTTGACGATATGTATCTTGCTTTCTTGTTGGATTAAAGTATTTTGATAATCATTTGCTCGTGCCTTTCGCGAATATTTAATATTTTCAGTATGAATTCGTATAACCAGTTAAATCTTTCTACGAGATATAGCATTAAAACGAAGTGTGCATTTAACGCATTAAGGGCCAATTTCATCAACGTCGGTCAACTGTAACCTTCGGTTAAACTCACTTTTCATCTCTTTTTAATTACCCTCGTAGAAAGAGACGAAGAGTGAGTTTAATCGAAGGTTACCACTCACTCTTCGTCTCTTTCTAAGGGGGAAGTTAGAAAGAGATGAAGAGTGAGTTAACCGACGTTGGTGAAATTGGCCCTAAGACCCGTATACTGAACGCACTTTTATCGATAAATATGCGCTTTTATCGATAGAAGATAGTTGAGAATATGGGATTAAAGCTTTAGCGATACTAAATGCAAGTAAGGTTTCAACAGTTTCAACGTGAACGAGTTGCAGGGAATCGATGAATAGAACAGAAGCGCTTCCAATCCGCAAATTAATCGCATGTTGAAAACAGTCAATTGACCACATATGCACTTACCCGGGTAAATGAGCCCCATAGCTCTGCCTGAAGAATTGTTTCCTCTGCTCCTCGCACATCGCGTCGAACACCATTTTTCATGCTATCGATCTTTATCACGTGTAGTTGTAAACAAGTCACAGTGCGACGACGCTCAGCGAGATTTTCCATCCGATTCTTCTCTTCATGTCTTTCTCTTCTCCTTTTATTCTCAAGTTGTTCCAATATGCGTTTCTATCACATAATATCCATTTATGTGTTCCACAATTCTTCTTATCTTATCATATTCGGCGAAAATCCTCATCCGTTCTTCATTCGCTCGATCGTTTGCAGTTTGCGACGATCGATCACCATCGAGGACGCACCCGTCGTCAATTAGTATCGATCGCAAATCTTACCGTCTCCGAGCGATCGTTAAGATTGCATTTGGAAAATCATCCGGACGTTCCGTCGAGCGTTGCGCGACGGCGCGACCGCGCCGAGGATGATCGCCGACTGGAAGCGATTGAGTCGCCGCTGGATCCACGGGCGGCCCGGGAAGGGATCGATCGATGATCCGGCGTCGATTCCAACGACGATCGCGTGAATCGTCGTGCGCGGCCGGCGCGTTAGTGAAACAGGATTGTATATAGCCGGCCCGAAGATACATAGTGCGCGAGCCGTGTCCTACTAAAGGCGCCCCTCCATTTCCGCGCGCCGCCCTTCAACGGGGGGTTCGACACACCATCGAGGTCGTGTCAGCGCATCCGTACTGCTTAATCGTGCGGAACGCCTCGGCTCCGGCACACGTGATTGTCAGATTCACCCTCGGACGCGTTATCGGTCATTAACTCTTCCGCTACCTCGTGTCGGCGTAATTTTGGATAATGCCGCATTGTGGTCATGCTCTCTTTTTTCATGCATTCGACACCAATGGTCTTGCAGCGATACATTTTTTTTTATTTTTTTAAACATAAATGTAGTAAGTAAATTAATTACATACAATCGCACTGGGACGTTAGCAGTCATCGACTTCTCGTTGCTTCCTTAGTGGGGTTTATGATATACTCTATACTGTATTAATAGCGACCCTGTATTCATTTTTTTTCTGCCTGATACACTCGATGTAGCGATTTACTGTAACCGTGTTCTTTTATACACTCGATAAGGAAATTGAAAACTCTCTCGGAGATTATAAATCAGTATTAAAATTTTTTTTATATCATGAATTAGATATATATTTTGAATACTAGATGCAGCACGATAATTTATGTTACGATATAGAGATTATCGAATCTATTAGACTTACTAGCAGAGGACAGCGGAGCTTGCCATTTAGTTTTTTCGCACAAATCTCTTCATGTTTTTCTCGTATTTACTATTTATTCTTTTAACGCAGTCCAAAGTTGTGAAAAAAGTATTCTTCAGTTTACTAAAAAGCAGACGCTCCCTCGTTTCTTTTGCGTTTCATCGGTAACTAGGGGACACTTAAGCAGCAAGCGGGACGGTCTCCAGAGTAACTCTGGCGAAAAATCGATATAGGGGGTTGAATGCATCACTCACTCCTCACGAAAGCCGTCTCGGCGAACATTAAGTATCGTCAGGCAATCCGATGTTTATAACTCTCGCGATATGATTTGATAATGCCACGACGAGCATTGTTTAATAATAAAACTTCGGAGAACGATTGATACAAACAAATTATTTATGATGCAGGCAAATTTCTCACTTATTAAGAATATATGTGTTTCAAAGAGCCCATAACTTTTTATTATTGCCAGTTATTATTATTTTTTTCCTACATTTTTCGTTTTAAGTGTTACAAATATATTGAACTTTTAGATATTGTAATTTTGTAATAAAGAAAGATAATTAACGCATTGTAAAGCTTTTAATGTAAAATTTAAAATATTTTACATCGTATATTAATTTTAGACGAAAGAAAATACGTTGAAATTGATTATATTTTAATTTTGCATTAACCCTTATTTGCTACACTGGGATCAAATCAACCCCACGAATATATTCTCTTAATTTTAAGTACCGAAACCTATGGAAAGCGGGTCTATAGCGACATCTGTCAATAGTTTGAGCAATGAATGTTTTTGTAAAAACAGCCATTTTTTTTATTTTTTTTTTGCTATTTTAATTTTTGTATCATACATAACTTTAATTTTTGGCTATATAACCTACATAACTTTTAAAAGTAAGCTTTTAAGAAGTTCTAAAAAAATTGGCAAGTTAAAATATTGAATAGCTTATTTGTTATAACAATTTTTGTCGCTGGGGTAGATTCCACCACAATGTGGCAAGTACGTGACGTCTACAGAAGTGTGGCAAGTAAGGGTTAATAGTCAATTGTAAAAAGTATTTGTTTATGGAGATACATAGAAATGTTTACTTTCTTAATTACTGTGCTTTAATTTCAGGCAATGTAACTTATTACGTAATCAGACCGTCAAAGATAAAATGTTATTTTCCGATTAATTTCTAACTATCTATTGTAAATTAACAATGTCGATTTTTTTTATTAGATCAAGTTAAATTCATCACATTTGATCTTATCGATGATCAGTAACACAAATTTCGTTATTTATCGTTGATAAAATCGCAATCAATTGATAACTGACTAGGCAATTTGACGCTTAGATTATCATGTGTCGGTAATCATGACTTAACTTGAAATTCCATTCATCCGATGATATGTCTATTCCTATTTTTTATCAATGAACATTTTGTTATATGAAACTGAAACAAATATTTAATTTTTTATAAATGTTGCATATTGCACAGCAATTAGAATCGCGAGACAATCCAGCAGGGATTTTTTGCGTGGTTTTTGTTTCGCTTTTACGATATGACGCAGCATGTTCATATAACGTAGGAATACATCATTTTTAACACTTACACGTCACAAAGTTGTAATTATTTCAAAAGCATCAGAGTTTACGGTAAACAATAAACCTCTCCTGTCTCGCTTCTCCCGTTTTTTAAAGTCAATCCTGAGCAGATTCTCATTTTTCCACCTCAGAGGGTCGAAAACAAATCAATAGGGATCGATAGCAGCGATTCCTTTCAGTACGCCCGCCTAACTTTTCATCCCCCTTTCTATGACATCTTATTTGTCTCGATAGATTGTATTCAGTTAAATTGAGAGCTATACGGTGGAGGGTCGTCGCGACAAACGTCGGTAAAAATGTCGACGCGAGGTCGTCGCCGATACTCGAGACCCCCGAGACACGGGAGCGCGTCACAGGCGCCGTTCACCGCGACGCCGTTACGCCAAAAATAACGAGGCTGATCCGACGGTTTTATTCAGATCTGCACGGCACGTGCGTTGTCCGAGGTGTCCGCGTCGCGACACGCCGGGCGATTGTCCAAATCGCGCGCCATTGTGACCATCATCGGTCCACTCTCTTTTCCGCTTCCCCTCGATAGAGACGAGCGGAGTTCTGTAACATCCCAAATTGCTTCCTACTTCGTCTGCAACACTGTCTCGCGTTTCCCAGATATTAACTCACTTTTCTCGGAATGTTCACCTGCTCGTTAGGCGCTGCCAACTTATCGGTTCGGTTCCGGTTTTCTGAGTTACAAATTCAATTTTATTCAATTTTATTCAATTCTAATCAGAATTCGAAAATAAGATTTATTTATTGCTAGTTAATTTCTACTGTCGCTCAATCAATAGCTCATATTGATCGTTGAAAATTATTTTGTACTCGCAGTTAGACTTTTAAGAAAACATATGATTTGTCTATTAATTATTTATGTGCTCACAAGAAATTAAAAAACTTCTTGCTAAAAAATTATTAGAATTGTTTATGGCGAAGCATATAGCACTGTATTTATATGAATAATATAAACGAGAAAATTACTTTTTTTAACTGTGTTGTGCACTCTGAACAACGAACGATAATTCAATTTTTAAGATTGAATTACTTCTTAAAATTGACGCAGATCTTGTCGAGTTGGAAACAAAATTACGTAGTTTTGAAGTTAATTTTTGTTATAATCAACATAAATCATCATTAGTCATTTATCAGACGATACATTTATCATCTTTGGAAAGCAGCTGTCTTTCATCTCCTTTTTAAAAAGTCAATCTGATCAAAGCGTTAGTATCTTTATCTCAAAATACAATTTAATAGAAGAGCGGAAAGTTTTTCTCCCAAATCTAATCAATGTAGGAAGAGAAAAATCGATAAGTAATTCAGTATTGCTTTTCCGAGATAAGTAACGGAAGGAAAAATTTGTGGTTTAATCGGTCGCGCTGGTTGTTTAGTAATCTCGAGCGGAGCGTGCCCCTCGTCTAAGGCCTGCATCCGCTAGAGGAAAGTTCATCAAGGTGCACGAACGCCCACGTCCGTTTATCAAATCTCATTCTCGAGCGCGCCCATTCAGCTCCCACACGTATCATATCACGGACTAACACCTACACTTGGGCTTCACTTGCACTTGCGTGGCGTTCTCCTCGTCCCGCTCGTTTCTCGCGGCGAAAAAATCTTTCTTTTCTGCCGCGTATCCCGTACTGGGCACAAATGCCTCGACCGATGCGCCGGATACATTCTGATACATTTATACATCCGAGAAGGTATTTTGTTTGACGCACTGTACGTTTGCAAAGAAAACTTACGTATCGACATCGTTATTTTTAATTTTTTACCGGGTAAAATAACAGGATATATTTATGATATGTTCTGTAACTTTACGTCTGACGAAAAGTCGTGGAAAATTTTGTGAAGGATACGTGATGACTACCCTCGGTCCGCGCACGAAAGATAATCGAGTCAGCTAAGAGAGAACGAGAGGGGGAGAGAGAGCTTCCTTGGGCGAGGTCGGTAAATCATCGATTATCAGTTAATTCCTCAAAGCTTTCTCGGCAAACATATCTGTTATTATGTAATCAGTGTTTACGAACTCTTGTTGCAGACTCCTGATAAAAGGCGTTCACCGGGCTTTATAACGGAAAAGAGAAATAATCTCTTGTACATACACGAAAGCACGAATACTCTCCGAATTATATTGCGGTGAAAAAAACAAACAGATGCTCTCTTTAAGCTCGAATCTTTAGATATTAAATATTAAAATTTTTAGATGTCGCACGAAAATAAAATTCCATATAATTTCGGTCCAATAAAATTCCAGTGAAGGTAAAACTATTTTAATTTTTGACAAAGATTATCGACTATAAAATACGCTATTAGCGGAATTTACTACACATTTTACAAACTGCGTGCGCAAAATTAATAAACGTATTAATTATACGAAATAAATGTCGACTCACCGAACGCGCCCTGGAAACGTCGAAATTCAGCTTGGACTGCTTCGCGATGATTCGGTGACGCTGGAAAAAAAATCGCGTGAACGTCGTTTGCGTAACTCTTGATAATTTTTTAAAAACAATTCTAAGGTTTTGCCATCAGGAACTCTAGTACTTGGCTAAATGCTTCCGATGAGCTATTCGGTCTTAAAGTTGAGTGTGAAGTTAGCACCCCATTTTTTAATTGCTTCTTTCAATAGTGTTGTTAATCGCTGGAACTTTTTTTATAAAGATAAAAATACTCCTATACTCTTCGAAAAGATGCTGAGATTCTAATCAGAACTATCGAATTTTAAAGTAGGGTAGGTAGTTTTTTTTTTAATTTCAAACGCGTAATACGTGCTTGATTACTCAATTTTG